TTTCCGTCGCCATGGAGGAGTTCGATTCCTTCGAGAAGAAACTCGAGGGCGAGGACTATTGGCAGCAGGCGGTAATATTTCTGCTATTTAATTTACATTGCCCATTCAGGTTGCCTTCTTATGTACCCTGGGCGGAGGTCGAGTCCTCCATTTCGTAAAGAGGATATTGGAACCTCTTTCCAGCAACCACCTGCTGGCGGAATTTAACCTCACTGGCACGCACCATCGACGGGACTTCCAACGCACGCGGTCATACACACTGCTGGGAGGTAGGCTTCACACCTGGTACGGGCTGTTCGGACACTACTGAAATCCGCCCAAGCAAGGGAGATAAAAGTCACGAAATTGTCTCAAGCAAACTCTATTAATAAGCCTTGTACATGTAAAACCTCACGGACGCCTTCGATTCATCTGTCAAATTCACAGCAGTAGACATTCACAAAGGTTAGTTATCTTCGGATATTCTAGGAGTAGATGTTACTGAGACCTTTGAGAATGGTTTAGGTTTTCCGCAGAAGGAATACGTCCTCCTAGTTAAAGTTATTTAATCTCAGGACTACGTACACCGAAGTACACGATGATGCAAAAGGCATCCACTTAATGCCTGCAAACCCATTCGCCGAACGCAGTCGCTGACAACAGAGTACGATCTAGAAGTTTGGTGCTCACTCCCTGACGAGATTTGTTTCCTCTCCTTTCTAGACTTTCTTAAAGGACGGTAATTTGCTCACCTTCCTTAATGTAACAGGCTGCCCTGGAATGCTGCACTGTTCGCAACCTCCGTAGACTAAAAAAATATTAATTAGCTTCAGATACGCCCTAGGTGGTGCGTCACATTACCACAGTCTCCTTAACCTTCACCTTAAGTCCCACTTCGGGGATATTTAACTTCCTTGCACTTAAGGTGCTAATCTCTTCAACTAATCTCCAAAATATTCTTGGAAGTCTGCGGACTTAGAGGTCCCGCAGAAGATGCCCACTGGAAATACGGCACTAATAAATAGTCGCCTTATCCTACCTAGAAAATGCCCCAAAGCCATTGGCGTCTTCTTGAACAACGGCATGCCGTCACAGTGAAATTGAACTTCCACTGTGTACGCACGGCCCACTAGCCCTACATTAGCCTTAAGTACGCCGACGAATTGCTGAGTTATGTCAATGTGGATATACTCAGCGTTGGCCATTTGCACTATACTATGCTTATTATGAATAATAAAGTTCGCGTTCCAGGTATCTGCTTGGATAAGGAAGGAGACGAGTCGAGCCCCGGATTAATTAAATTATTGTCCTGAGCTTTCGGCTCCACACGAGAAGCCATCGTCAGAGAAAATGAGAAAACAGCAAGCGTTGGCTACGCGTGAATGGGGTTGGTAGGGGGATGGGGAGTGGCACCTGTGATTGGCACATGTCCATGCCACGTCCTTTCCTAGGCTATCTTTTCGTGTGCCTCCTGCGCGCGTCCCTGGAGTTACGGCGTGTGACCTTCACGTGGCAGTCTGCGCGCTTGTGGAGAACTGGGCTCTGGTTTCTGGTCGCGGGCGCGGATGGCAAAATAACAGGGCGGGTCATTAACAGAAATTAGTGTCGTGCCTTGTCCTCACGGTAGAGGGTCCTGGTAACCCTGTCTTCTCTTCCGGCCGGTTCGTTGTGGGGTCCTCTTCGCTTGCCATTGTTACGTTCGGTTCGGTATTGTTCTATTCTTTGCCGATATAGTGGCGCAAGACTTTGTAGGCCGCAGGCAGGTCCAGATGCCTGTTAGTTCCTAAGAGGGTCATGGGGCCCCGTGGGATGCCAGGGGTGGGCTCTGATACCATTCTCAGCACAGGTTTGATGTCGGCGTGTGAAACTTTGCGCGTCACCGCTCACCCTTGAGCTGCACCTTACACGTATCATTATCACCTAAAATACAAGAAGAAGAACAACAAGAAGAAGGGACAGACAAACGGCCATCCTTTGACATTGAGGATTCCGACCTCTGTGTATTGCCTCCCACCTGCCGCCTGCCAAACGCATCTGCTTCCGTCATTGTAGGACATCAATGCGTTCTAGAGGGATGAATACCTCCTTCGTTCACTCAGATCCACGGAGGACGAATTTCTCTGCGACCTTGGCTCTCAACTACCATCACTGCGTAGCAAGGTGACCGAAGTGGCAACGGGCCACGTAGCAGGTAATGTTCGAGAGGTTAAATTTAACAACTATAGATGTCCCCCCCGTGGATCTTCCCCTCCAGAGTCCACGTCCCAGCCCACAGGGAGCCCTGATTGGCAGGTGGTTGTACTCTGTAAGTATCTACGTTTACTCTTTATAGCTTTTCTTAGCCGGTATTCCGAACATGGATACTCGTCTTGTCGACAGGTTCGAGGCGAGCTTACTGATTTGAAAGGCCGACTGGCTGCGGTGAAGGAAGTTGTCGAACGGCTAGCAAATTCAAAGCCTAGGATGACGCCCTTTGGAGCAGTATGCCTCGTACCGTAACCTATGCTTACCCTGGAGGAATTTAATGTGTTCGAAAACAAACTCGAAGACAAGGACTATTGTCAGCAGTTGGTAAGATTTCTGCTATAATATTTCCAATTCTGCGAAAATTTCCATTTTACGATTGAAAAGTTGTGTTGGCCAACAATTGTTTTCGGTTATTCGTCATCAGGCCGGTACATGACATGGGGGATAAAAATGGTCAGTTAATTGCAGCGTTTATACAATCGTCAGTTTGGGAGGGGGGGAGGAAGGGGATTAGTGAGTGAGGGTAATAAGGCAGCTGGGTTTTCCCTCGTCTCCTGAATGCGGGCGCCCGCGCAGGTCGGACGTTGGTTGCAATGCTCAGAGAAGACAGGGGAGATGTTCTGACGGTCAGTGGGTTGAGGTCTGTATGTCAACCGCGTAGCTTGCGCTTGACTATTCTCCGTGGCTTCGTTTTGTGTGTTTTCGGACGACGTAGCTTCAGAGGGCGTGGGATTTCCGCGTGCAATCGGCCAAGGGAGGCAGATCGCTTGTACCAGCGCCTTTTGACAGCATGGACTGGGTTT